GGGGGGCGCGCGGGGGGGGTAGTTATGCAGAAATCAATTTGTTTAACAATCTATTTCAGCCTGATCAAACATTTATTTTAAGAGAGGGACAAGGCTTAGATTCTAAGACCTAGAGAAGGAAAAATGCAATGCAGGCTTGCAGAATAATCAGGTTGGGAAGCACCTCAGGTGGCCCCTAGTGCAGCCTTCTGCTCAAAGCAGGGTCAGCTGTGAGACCAGAGAGCTCTGAGCTTTATCCAGTCAGGTCTTGAAAACATAGGATGGAAACTGCACTACCTCTGTGGTCAGACCATTCCCTTGCTTGACTGTCCTCATGGCAAGCTCTTAGGTTCCTCTGAAGCAGTCTTCTCCAGCCTCTCCCTCCCAGGGCAAGTCTTCAAGCTTCTGTGATTATTTGGCCCTCGGCTGAACTCCAATCAAGCTTATCAGTATCTTTTTTTGTACTGGAGACCCATAGCTGGATACAGTATCCCAGATGAGTGCCAAGTGAAAAGGGATAATCACTTTCCTCAACCTGCTGACTGTGCTCATTAGAACAGCCAATAGCAAACACAAGCTACAGAATTTTAGTGCAAAAGCATGCAGTTAATCTATAACCACACCATCACTGTCAGACCTGCCCAAATCTCCAGGATGAGGCAGTCACAGAATATTAGGGATTGGAAGGGACCTCAAAAGATCATCTAGTCCAATCCCCCTGCCGGAGCAGGAACCTAAATGAGATCACACAGGAAGGCGTCCAGTCAGCACTGGAACGGTGATCTGGTAGGTACTGCTCATCAGTCCAAACAAAGCACTTGTACAGCTTACTGTGTTGTGTCTCACTAAATACAAAACCATGAAATGAGTGCTATTATGCCAGTAGGAGACTGGAGTAGTCAAGGTAACAAGAAATCTGCCTGCACAGGTTCACTGCCCCTCTTACTATCACACATGATCTCCAAAGTTAAACATTTAATTCCAAATACATTTTTGCAACTCCTAATATTTAAGTGCTATACTTTCAATTATACCAAGATCAGAATGAGAGAAACTTACTATACAGAGTATTAACCCTTTACAGAAAGCCAGATGATACAAACAAATCTGATACCAAAATGCCCACCTGCACACATGCTGTGTGCTTACCTTTAAAATTTCCACTGTCAGAAAAACTTCACCACACATATTGAGCAACATGGTAAAGACTAATTTCACTGTAATGTCATTCTTGACACAGGTGCTTCAGCAAAAAAACCCAAAAGGCTTTTCTGAGCAGAAGCCAATTCTGACTACCTGCTTTCCTACCATAAATTTAGCAAAACATATTAGTATCTGGAAGGGCTCCTGTGATATCAAGGATATTCAGCTTTAAGCTAACGTCATTCTATAACATGCTACTTCACAAAAGCTAGTTTATCCTGTTAAACAGCCTATTTTTTTCTATGGAAAATAAAAAAAAGCCTCACACTGACATGCAACTCCTCTTAAAATTACAGAAAGACAACACAAGAGGAACTCATTTCTGTGAATCAGAATATAAGTATATTTCAAGATTTCTCAAACATTTTGTGCTCTTTGCTGTCTCTTCAGCACTACCCATCTCTGGTCTTTGAGCTGCAAAATTAAAGAAGTCTAACTAGGAGGCTAGATTACACAAAGTAAAAGCAGAACTCTGTTCACACACAAGTTAAACAAAAATGTCCTACAGAAATTAAAATCATCCTTTAAGACAGAATGTGCTTCATGGTAAACATCAGAATCAACATAAAATGCATTTTGAATGATGTTTCAAACACTCCTCCAAGCTTCATATGGGACTAAAACAAGGATATAAAAATACTGAGTTTTACACTAATGCCATAGGAATACTATAGTAGCAAGTTCTCACTAGACATGTATTGATTGCCATTAGAAAAGGGATGTCAGAAAATGACTAACTTCATACAGGTTCTTAGCAATTTTGCAGAAGATCTAAGAGCTACAAGAAGACACAGAGTACAACTCTTTCCACAGCACTTTTCCTTGCAATTTTAACTACTGAAGTTATTGGATACCAAGAGATAAGAATGCTAGATAAAGAACAACTTTGGAGTTGAATACTGATTATATATGGAAGTTTTATATATGATTTATAAGTTAGATACTAGTTTTTCAGTCACATTTCACATGAGAAAACTGACAAGATCTTAATATTTTTTTTCCTTCCAGATGATCATCAGTAGCTGTTTGAACTTATTTCTGATTATCTATTTCAAAGCTCTTACCTTCCAAAACAGAATACTACAGTGCCGACAGAAATGCAACGTGTCCCCGTACTGTTCCTTTATTGGGTAGTATTTCTGAAGTGCAAAGTACATCAGCTTCCAGTCAATGTGACCTTTCTCTGATAGAATCAAATGCCTACAAAACTGGACATAAAAATAATATCTTCCTTTAAAAATCTTAAAGAACTAGTCAAATCAGGTAAAGGACTTGGAGGTGGGGTGAGGAACAGTTAAGCTGAAGTTTTGTAACTGGAATACTCTGAAGTCAGTAATCTATCATCATACATCTCAAAAGCAATGAGAGAGATCTAGCCACAAAAAAAAAGAGGAAATTAAAACACTAAAAATAGGAAAGTGTGTATTTGCCAAGAAAAAGTAGGCCATACACAACTGATCTAACTCCACTGTCTTGAAATTATTTTAATTATAGCCAATATCCATGTAACAAAATCAGTAGTGAGAGCCATAAGCAATTAATTTTTTACTTTCAAAAAACCCCACTTGGGAATGAGATTTAAAAAATGATTGTGCATTACAAATAATATTTTTCTGTTAAGACAGTAACTAAGGATTTAAGTAATGCTTTTGCTTTCATTTTAGAACTACACACATGATTATTTTTCACATTTACTTATGATCTTTCTAGAAGGACAGCAATAATCAGTGACTGACACACTTCTTGAGGACATAATCTGCATGTAAAGATTAGCTGATGTACAATGGCTATTTCTCCCCATCTTAATACACTGCTAAGGTTTATTAGGTATGTATTTGTAAAAGGCTTCTTGTTTCAATCAGTGTGGATTAATTCTAATACATTAAGGGCCTTCTTCATTCAGAAGACAACTCCTGGATGGGTACAATAGCACTGCCTTTGTGATTTCAGCTACACTTCATTTCATAATAGCTTCCCTGTGTAGAGATCTCATTTTGTCTAAAGTGCTCTTCAGATACCAAGTATGTTTTTGTGGTCATTTCAATGGTTCAACAAATATACTGCAGAGGACAGGAAAAACAACCTAACTTGACTCTGTAGCTTATTAAGACAGTACACTTTTAAACAGAAAAAGCAGAATTTTATATTGGAAAATATATAAAGTCATTAGATTTGTATCATGAATAACCTGGTAAGAAATTGAATGTGAACATTTCAGAATGTATTGGAAAACACTGTGTAGAAGTGTCCTTTATTGAAATGCTTAAGCAATCTTTTTCCCAGCTTTACCTTAGCGTAACAGCTTCCACTCCAACCAGTTTTGTCACTGTTCAGTAAAGCTTACCTTATCTACACTCAAAATCCATGCAAATGCTCCATTAAGCTTAAACTTCTTATCCTCATAACTCCACCTTGCATTCTTCCAAGCTGCCTCTGAAGGAGGGTTTTTCAGTTTGTTTTTGTCTGTCTATATTCTCCATGAAGTTCATTCTAAAGCCTTTCATCTCACCAAAATTCTTGTTTGGATCAACTGCAGATGAGTTAGTTATCTTCACTTCGACATTTCCTGGTATAATAATGTTTAATCTGGTAGTCAGTGACCAAACAGTACCACTTCTATCTATCAGATTTAAGAATTAGTATCTTCACTTTCTCCAGTCTGGAATGTACTCAGCTTTTAAACTTCTTCCTCCAGCTCTGATGTAGTAACTCCTATTTTCATACCTTTATTTTCACATAGTCTGATTTTGTCCCAGCATGTATTACTGTCAGGAAAAGACAGTTCTGGAGGCATTCCTAGATTACTTTAATGCTTTTTATGAGGAAGGGACAGAAAAGTATCATTTCTCCTTTTATTCTTAATTTCAAAATCTCAAGCATCTGTTTTTTCTTTTTGGCAAATATCCAATTTTGGTTTCACCAGACTGTTCATGTAGCCTGAAAGTTTGAGCAGTCTGCCTACCTTGATTAGTAAATATGATGGGTTTAGCCTGGCTGGCCACCAAACACTGAACAGAGAGAACATTTTCACTATTTCTGCGTGCTGTCACATTTTTATCTCAAAAAGGGTGAGTTCACACTTTGTTATTAGTATACAATATTGCAAAGATAAGGGCCATGAGTATGCAAATGATAGAGTTTATTACCTGCTTTTCTGCAAAATGGTACTGGCAGAGTTTTTTCCACAACTGTCTGTCTTCACTGAGCATATACAAAGTTGGGGTCACTTGACCCAGCGTAATAATGTCCCAGCCATCAGAAAACCTGTATAAGATGTTGTTCAGCATATGCAGAGGGAGATCACTCAGCGTAAGACCATTGTTGACTTGCTGGAAATAAGAGTTGAAGACTTAACTACAAAAACTTGACAGTATAATGTACAAATAAGATTCTTAATTTAGAGGTATCTTAGGTCTTAGTTTAGTATGTACAAAACCATTAAGTAATATCTATGGTTAATTCTGTGATACTTTGATTACTTGGCTATTATTATTCTCTAACTGCTGTTGTTGAGAACTTAAATGACCTTTTAGCTATGGCTTTATAACTTACAGCTCTCCTACTGTTAAAATAAACATATCCTAAATTCTTTATTTAAATTGCAAATAATTTTAGAACACTTCATTCTCAGAAAATAATTCAAGCGTACACAGTCTTGAAAACTATGATACATTCAATTCCACCTTTGACAAAAGTGGGATAAAACACTAACTATAATAAAATGAACCAATTAATTATAATTTGTAGGGTAACTACAGTTTCACAATTTTTATTAAGAAACAGAACACAGGTCAGTTTGCCTTAAGAGAACTAGAGCACAGAATACAGAACTGACAAGCAGAAATATCGAATGGAAACATTATGAAGGTCAGAGGCAGAAGAGTAGGTTCATTTCTGAAGTCTGGAGATAGCTCCCCTCATATGTAAAGAAGGAATCCTGCAGGGGTGACAGATCAGAGCACTGAGAAAGTTTTCATTAGGAGTACACACCTCTGCTGAACTTTCTCTTTAAGGGGTAACCTGCAGCACAACTCAGATGACTAAATCTGGAGCTCATGCTGCCAGGTGGCAGAAAGCTGGACACAGCCAGTGTCCCAGCTGGCAAGGGAGGGAGCAGGGGCAGCTGCCAGCCCCACCTAGCAGAGCTGCCTCGTCACAGGCACTGGCAGCTCTAGCAGGCTCTCACTATGTCACTTTATTTCATGACCATTCATCTCACTTAGACTAGACTTTCCATAGTGTCATCTGTTATAAACATCTCTGGGACTATCGTTGTGTTCAGGAATATGTGAGCATTACAGATGCAAGACTTCTCATCAGTTGTTTCCATCCGAGCTGTCTTATGTTGGCTGAAGTGGCATGCTACAGAGAAACAAATGCAGCAACCACAATGTCTCAAAACTGTCTATGCTGTGGTTGCCTGGCATATGAATGCTGCTGAGATTGGGTTCCCCATGTCTCATTTCTATTCCAAAATTAGCTGTTCTATTCAGATACCTGACACACACAGCAAAGACAACTTCAAAATTTCATAGCTGCAAGCAAACAGATGGAACAGTTGTATAACCTCACTGTGAGCAATATCTTGCAGCATTGCTTCCTTCAGGTGTAACAGACAGGCTAAAAAAAACCCACCTGCTTACCATCAGAAGTTTCCACTATGAAACCCTACAGCAGTGCATCCATGTGCTTTGAACAAAGTCGCATCATCAGAGTCCAGATGCTGAAGTAATTTTTTTTTTTTTTACAGGAAGCAACTGTGCTAATTAAAGCTGTAAAATTGCTACTTGAATATTTTATTTCTGTTTTCTTGATCCACTGCTAAAATTCATTTTAGATATGTATTTCTTCAGTAACAGAACGCTTACTTTGGAATTAAAAATTGGTATTTTTTCCCATCTCTATCTGATAATCTAGAAACAAACATTTTGCTATTTATTTGGGTCAGAAAAACAATTACATCTCTACCAGAAACCAGTAGCAGCCCTCATTAGAAAGAAGCTATTAAAATATTAGACAGTGAAAATGAGTGCAACACAAAATTATGTTAATTTCATTAATTGCATATTACTTCTCTAAAAACACAGAAAACAAGTAAAACTGTTTAAGATGTATTTGAAGCTTTGTTCATTTACAAGTCATAAACCAATGTTCAATATACTTCACCTCTCCCAATTACTTTTTTTAGCATGATTGAATAATTACCTTGTTCATCTGAAGGTTTTTTAGTTGTTGTTGCCACAGAAGGATAGTTTCTAATCGGCAAATCCAAATATTGATGTTCCCTACCAACACAGATTTTCCTACTCCCCTTATCAGTATACAGAGAGTAGAACTCAGATCCTGGAGAAGATCTTTGATTAATCGTGGGTTATATTGGTCTTCCATGACTGGAAAACAAAACAAAACAGGTACAGTTTTGGTTAACTGAGTTAACCAAGCTAATGCAGTTACCTCAAGCTAATCAACACTCTTTTAGATGAACTAATTACAAGTCAAATGTTTGTGTGCGAAGAGCTGCTCTAATTCCCACCATGCTATTCATTAATGCTGTTCCATAAGCTCAAGATCAATAATTAACAATTTCACAGGCAAATTTGATGTAACATTTCATGCTAAGCATTTAATAACTTAACACTGAACAACTAGTTACAAATGTGTTTTCTTCTGCTCAAAGCTGATAGTATTACATCTCCCTCCATTTAGTGTGGTTACCAGAAAAAAATAAATTCATTATTATGTAATAGCTTTTTAAAAATAAACAAAAAAGAAAAGCAGTTATGTACTTTAAATCTCAGTACATCACACAAATTGAAAAAGAAATATGTTGCTAATCTAAGCAACATCTAAGCTTTCACATTTCACAGAGTACAAATTAGTAGTAAACAATAGTTTCTTAATAGAATCTAATTGTCATTTAACTTCCCCAATCTGTTTCAACAAACGTGATTCAATAATCAAGAGAAAACTGGTTTATTGAAACTGTGGGATGAAAAACATGAAACCTTTCACTAACTAAATATGCTATTACTTTATCTTATGATGTAAAAACAGTAACAAAGCTAACAACAACAAAAAAATCAATTGACAACTTAGTCACAGTGATTATATCTGCACAAGCAGATTACAAAACCTGAGGTCTTACCTTTACGCACAATTTTGTCCAAAATGTTAAAGTAGTTCTTCTGTGCTGCACCACTCAGTGAAGTTAACTGGGATTTTGCAATTAACTGCAGAAGCTGAGACAAAGAATTAATACCTCAGAAGAATGACAGAATTAAAGGATGGTTTCAAATACATACTGTCAGTACATACATTCACCTACAGCAGCCTAGAGCACTGCAACCAGATTTCGTGAAAACTGACTACTGAGCTCAGAAAAGGAAGCAAGACAAACGCAGAAAGTTTTAGGCATTCCCGCTGGCATCCCACGGACAATTCATGAAGAGGTGCACAGCTTCCAAATACTATATAAATACTAGTGTTTATCTCTGTGATAGAGCACATGACACACAGTCTTTGTAAACTGTAATGAAACAAGGGAAGGAGTCTGTTTTGGAGGCTCACAAATAGAAATGTGGTCTTTGATGTAGGTGGGTTCTGAAGGCCCTGACAGATCTGGTGGCCAGGAACATCACACTGAACCGATCCCAGCCACCAGACTGCCAGTTTCTGAGTATCACACTAGTCAAACCCAGGTGTGATGGACTTAGTGCACAGTTTTCTGCTCATGGAGGGGAAATGCCATATTTTACCTAAAGTGGTGTGGGGAGATTAAAAAATTACTCCCACATTCAGATCCCTGGTAGAAGAAATCACAGTAATGTGATAGCAAGCAGTGTACATGCTGTATGAGTAACTTTCCCCTAACTATACAGTAAGGATCTCCTAACTGTCCACATGTTTCCCTCTGGAACCACTGTGAGCAAAAGAGTGGCCAGAAGAGTGGGAATGGTCTATGGGAAAGTAACCAGAATTGCTTAAATTCTTGCTGCACATGAATGCCAACTTTAGCAACCAGAGGCAGCCCTGACTCCATTTTGACACACCTTTACTTTTATATTTTAGATTCAGTTTTGTAGCTGATAAAGACCATTGACTCTTCAACAACAACAAAAAAAATAGTCTCTTAGAACAAAATACAAGAGATTTTGACATTATGACAGTATTGCAATGTTTAGAAGAGTGGCACTGAGCTTTACAATTGCTATTCATAATGCTGAGTTCAGAACAAATGTTCTCAATACATCAGAAAGGGAAAGAAGGGAGCAGAAACCAGCATCCCCTACAGAGTGCTCTAAACACTAACCTGCAGAGCCAGGCTTTGTAGGACAGCATCAACTACTGGCACAGAAGGTGAACAAAGACTAAGCCTGCCAAAAACGATTTTGTATCTTCATTTCTAAAACACTGATTTGACACTACAATCAACATTAATTTTCCTTTGGAGGAATAGAGAATACACCTGTTATCTCCCTGATTTAATAATGTTCCTTCTGGCTTCTCTGCATGATCCCTGACAAAACATTATGTGCTATGAAAGGAGGAAATAATTCTCCTGATGTATTTAAATACAAGCAATCTATTTACACAGTTTTTAAGACTAGGTATCAGGATCTCTCTTCGCATTTTCAAAGCTTTTTAGTTTGAATAACAACTTGGAGCACACCTAGAGGTCTCTGGAATTTTGCCAATTCAAGCAAGTATGTACATTTCTCTTGATTAATTTAAAAAAATTCAGTTATGTCACTCAGACTAAAGATCAAATCAAAGAAACAAATTCCACATAGCCTATTTTAATGAAGATCCCAATTTCAGTGGAGGTTAATATAAAAGGATCAAGACAATTTTAGCAGGTGCACAAGTACAAGGATCTGACACGAGTCCAGCCTTACTGATACATGCATAGCCATGGTTTATGTTGTCTACTAGATACTCTAATTTTGAACAGATCAATTGTTTACTCAAATGGAAACATTTTGAAAAGAGACCATCCATATCAAACCCAACCCATCACACCTTTAACAGCTAAAAAATTATCATTATACTACAGCACAAACAAGTTCAGGAAAACAGCTGGTCCTATCTCCTCCTAAAAGGGTCTTGGGCAGACATCCATATTCACTTTTAGTAATAATTGGGAGGTTTTAGTTAGTTGGAGAATCATAATGGATCACCTTGATGGCCTGGGATCAAACAAGAGCTATCCAGTAAGGCCTGGTATTTTTAAAAAAGTCACATTGATTTATAACATACTATCTTAGATGCAACAAGTGGAACAACACACATAAAAGTAATCACCATTCTGTTCACGCACAACTAGGAATAATTCTTGGAGAAGAAATAGGAACTGCTGCACTGCATTAAACAAGAGCTACACAAAAGATCTCCACCATTAGAAACTTCAGGGAAGTAAGTGAGAACTTGTATAAAGTAGATGGGTATGGGATGACCTGCTTCTTATATTAAGTCTCAGTTGCAGGCTGGCATAAAACCCAATGGAGCAGATTAAACATCCCTTTTAAAAATCTGTTGCAACTCCATATATTCTTGGCACCCACACAGATGTTTTAATTTATTAGCTACAACACCACAAATGTTTCTCAAGTCAACAAGTTCTACAGAATGAGCACCACCTGTCATTCATAGCTCAGTAACTTTTAAGGTCTCACATGTACAGAAACTGTACCTGTTGATAAAAGTCAGTTTTCCTCCATCAACTCAGATGAACTGTTGCACAGATAATTAAATTTTCATAAAACAACTCTAAAATTTTAAAGATTTCAAATTCTAAAGTGTTATTAGGATTTTGGAAGTTTGCCAGTTATTCTAAATCCACCCTAATTCCTTAGGGTCTACCATTACCCTAGTAATGGTTTGGATCACAAAGACAAATTTCTGAATTTTAAAGTATGGCTCCTTTCTCAGCAATCTTAAGCCTGGCTAACTAAACCAGCCCTTTTATATTTTTTGGTGAACAGCAGGGAAACTGGTCAATGTGCTTATGTTTGACTTTGCACTTTGTTACAGTCAATGGTTTTGAGCAACCCTGCCTAGGCACTGCAGCATCTAAAAAACCAAGCCACCACACGAAATGCTAGTTCTAGATTAATTCTACCTATTTATCAAGTGTGGCACTCAAGGTTGACCCCATTTATAACACAATTCATTGTTTTTAGGTGCTCTTTTTTCTTCTTCCTACTGTTTGAGGCTGAAGAGTCTTGGGACAGATAAGTGTTCTTGTTTCTGCTCCCAAAACAGCATTAAAAGGTGATGTTCTAAACCAAAATTCAAACCAAACATATACCAAAAAACCATGCTAGTAGAATAGAATAGGCAAGTACCCTAACCATTGGCCTGGAAACAAATCCTTTTTGCTTTGTTTCCTTTGCTCCCACATCTCTTGTTTTTTCTGGAAGTATAATACACTATGTGACAGATTCACAAGGAGAGGTAGAATGTGTTTTCTCTCCAAATACTCCACAGCCTAGTGATAAGGGTGTTCTCCTAGTATGTTTATTTAATTTTGATTTGTGTCTTTTCAAGCTCTGGATACATTCCAACAACTATATTATTTGTGAGCAGCCTCACCACTGAGCTGAACTCTAGTCCTGATGTGTCTTGCATTTTGAGTTTCTCTAGACACTGAGTTAGTAAAGTGTTTGTCCCAAGTTAGATGACAAAACCACTTGGGGCTAGAGAAAGATCAGTATCTCCCAAACAGGTATTTCCAAGTGGAACAGGTATTTCCAAGTGCTGGTTAAGTATCAAGGAAATTAAGACATGACATTATGTGGCTCCCTAAAGTACAAGTTACATAGTTTTGGAAAACAGGCAGATAGCACTGTTGTCTAGAACTTAACAGGTTCCATGCACTTAATTCTGAACTTAGGCCTAGACCTGATCCAGAGAACCTAGCATAGTCAGAAAGGGACTTTCCAAGAAACCACAAGATTACCATATCATAGTTGTTTCTATAACCTTTATGTCACTACATTATTTGTAAAAGTCAACTTGCAATAAAACTCATTTCTGGAAGGCAAAAAAAAGACTGAAAAAGCTAGAGTCTGAAGTTTGAATGTATGTTAGCAAAGGTAAATACATATATATCTAGTCCTAGATACAAATAAAAAACCAAAGTACAAGGAATCGTAGGGCTGTTAGGGAGCTGCAGAAGAAACAGAAAATGCAGGATATTTACACATCAAATATTCTTCTGGAAATCACTAATTTAATAATATTTAAGATGTACTACGCTCTGCTATTTTTGGTTGTATAGGAATTATTTTGCTTTTAAAGAGAGTTTGCTACCCAGACTGATGAACAACTGAAACTACCATCAGTGTTTCCCTGTAAACAGATAGCATACTGACTGTCACCATCCTCCTCATGCTATAGGCTTTCATAGAACAATATAACAAGTTTTCACCAAATAAAAATCACTCAGTTTAAAGTTGCTTCACACAGTATAAATTACACAAACAGCAGATTTATACAGTCACAAATCATCAGCTGTTCAGTGCTAAATTATTTCTTTTGTATACACAGGCACATCAGCAAATGTATTTTTAAAATATGTCTATAAAATAAAGAGCTTACTTTGACCACGTAATTGAATCTTCTGATATCCTGAATTGCACTTGAAAAGTCTAAGCGGTTAAAAGCTTCTCCCAAAGTGCAATAGCCATGTCTCTGAGAAGAAGAATAAACACATTTTAAATGGAAAGAAACAAAGATAAAATTGAGGAAAATATTCAGAAAAGCATCTGCCATGCAACTGATGCATATGTATACCATGCTGCCTGAAAATATAATGTATCTGGACTGAAGACTTATTAAATTGCTGGTAGAACAAATGAAACCAGATATGCCATTTGGAATCAAGAGGTAATATTACATGACAGCAAGGCCTTTAAATTCATACTAATCAGACAATCTGTAATTACTGGTATCTGAGCATCATGAGAACCTACTCCACTATTGCATGGCCACAATGCTGGTACCCTCTCATGGCCGTTGTGCTCCCCGTTTGCCTCAGCACAAGGCAGAGCTTGTTTACAGAGCAGCCTGAGCTTACAACCGTAAGCATTAACTGACTGAGTATATGTTCACATTTGAGGGTCAGAACATAGCTACTTGCTCCTGGGATTGGAAGAACAAATAGTCTCAACATCTGAAATTTATTTTCCAGGTGCTAGAAGTTCAGGCACAATTTTTCTTACATACCAAGAGCAAGAGTAATTTCATTTTCTTCTGGTGCTTCTGCAAAGGTGTCTTAAGGTGAACATGGAAGTTTCAAAGGCTGTTGCAGAACTACTTAAGGTGGTAGTGGCAGCCCAAAATGACATGGGATCACATAAACTGTGTAAATTGAGAGCCACAAAGCCACACAGGAGCCTTGGAGCAAATATAATGAGGCTAGAAAAACCTTACAACTGGTGAAAAGAGATACCTACAGAGCAGTGTGCTAGGACAGCTTATCAGTCCAGGAAAGGCAGTATACATAATTATTTGAAGTTCACTCCTCAGACTTCCTTGGTGAGTTATATGATGGTGAAAAGATGGCAGTACAACTTAATGTTTCGTTCTGCAACCCAATTAAAGCTTACCCTGGCTGTATCAGTGGGACAGGAGACAGTTAAGTATTCACTGCAGAGTGGTGGCAATTACTGCCTATTGGTTAATGACTAAGTTCAGGATCATACTGCTGCTCATCCAGTGAACACACCTAAGACTCAGGCATGCTGCACGCTTCAGAATACACACAACTTGGTTGTCTAACAGCCATGAATTAACACTTGCCAACAACAAAACTTTTGTGGAAATTTAAATATTTGTGGCTGATCTCTGGCTAAATAGTTATCAAAAGGCCATGCTTAAATACATTTGCATAAGAGTTCCCTTGAACAGCTGGAAGCACACTTCTGTGAAGCTTCAGCACTACCTTTCCCAGTGTATTATCATGACAAAATTACTCAAAGAGCAACTCCTACTTCATTTTCAGTGTTCTCTCATAGCATGTTTTCATAGAATCAGAATGGTTTGGATTGGAAGGGACCTTAAAGATCATCTAGTTCCAACCCCCCTGCCATCAGCAG